CCTGCCTGTCCTGGATGCTGAAGATATCTCCTGGGTTACGTGGACATATTTTGCTCACCCCTCTTACAAATTGGTCCAATGGCCCTGCAAGTTTGTGGTTGATTACTATTCCCTTTTCCTTTGTAAGAGCCATGGTGGTGCAGTGGTTAGAATGCAGTATTGCAGGCTAATTCTGCCCACCGTCAGCAGTTCGATTCTGACTGGCTCAAGGCTGACTCAGCCTTCTGTCCTTCCGAGGATGGTAAAAATGAGGACCCAGCACAATGTGCTGACTCTGTGAACTGCTTAGAGAGCACTGTAAAGCACTGTGAAGCAGTCCATAAGTCTAAGTACTATTGCTATTGAGCATGTTTTTCATCTTGGAGCATTGCAGGGCAGAGGGAGAAAGTTAGGGAAGATGTCTCCTGCCCCGCTCCCCACCCTCCATGGCCCAGCTAAGCAGAGAAAGAGGATCGGTTGGTCCATGGAGCAGAAGGGCCACACATATGGACTATATATGAACTACTGCTACTTCCCTCCACACATTTTTGTTCCCTTGAGAACTTTTCTTTTTTCGCTCACAATCCCTTCCATACCCCTGGCTGCCTGCCTATAGTTGGAGAAGGGATTGGTGATGAAGCAAATGTTCCTAGAACTGTTGTACAGAAGATGGGGATGCAGGAATTCAACCTCCGCCAAACAGGGACTTTTGACCCCACCAAACCCTGGATTTTGTGTCCTGCCAAAATCACCGCAGATAAAACTGGCAGGTCCTCAGCTGAACCATTGGCATCATTACAAAAGGAGGCTTTGTGGGAATACATCCAAAGGAGTCCCCTGCACTGGCATCAAAGCAGAGAATCCCGCAAGGCGTGTGTGTTATCTGTCAGAACAAGCAGGCATTAATTTCCCTTGATTGCTATCAGTGATCTGTAGAGCTGATCTAGTTTAACTGCTGCTGTCAAGTGTGCAATTATGGTTTCATATTGCTCTTTTTATTTATGTAAACAAATGTTGGAAACTCTAGTGAGAATAAAAAGATGAGAAATGTGCCATTTTGATCAGACTTACAATTTTCATAACAAACTGATCCAAAACATGCATATGTTGCTGAAAAAAATTGCAGTCTGAGCCATCTGTATGTACTGCTGCCAGGATGGGGAAGGGTTATAGATAGCAAGCAAGCAAGGAGATGTTGCAAAAATTTGGCTAGCACCAAGACATAATTGAGTTGTGGTGGCGCAGTGGTTAGAATACAGTATTGCAGGCTAATTCTGCTGACTACAAGGGGTTCGATACTCACCAGCTCAAGGTTGACTCAGCCTTCCATCCTTCCAAAGTCGGTAAAATGAGGACCCAGATTGTTGGGGGCAATATGCTGACTTTGTAAACTGCTTAGAGAGGCTTGTAAAATCACTGTGAAGCAGTATATAAGTCTAAGTGCTATAATAGATGCCTAACTCCAAGACAGGATTTGGTCTGACTAAACTCTAAACATGAACAGCAGATTTTGTTTTGCAAAATCTGGAAAGTTTTTCTTCACTGATTACTTCACCTAAAACAAAATGCTATATTTTCCATTTTCTTTTAAAGTGAAAGTGTTACCCCATAAGGTCATGAATTGCGCAATGATGGGATTCACATAAGACTTCAGTACAACACTCAGAAGTTTAAATATATTTATTTATTTATTTATTTATTTGTTTGTTTGTTTGTTTGTTTGTTTGTTTGTTTGTTGGTTCGATTTATTTGCCGCCCTTTTCCGGAGACTCAGGGTGGCTTACAATGCATTAAGCAATAGCCTTCATACTTTTGTATATACCTGCTTAATAGGGCTTTTGGGCTCCCCCAAGCGGTGTTCTTTTTTATACAAAGTCAGCTTATTGCCCCCACAATCCGGGCCCTCATTTTACCTACCTCGAAAGGATGGAAGGCTGAGTCAACATTGAGCCTGGTGAGATTTGAACTTGCAGTAATTGCAGGCAGCTGGTGTTACTTAACAGTGCTTTAGTCTGCTGCGCCACAAGTGTTTTTTATGCTGACTGCTTGTTACAAGTTTATTGCCTCCTATTATTTACTTGCTTGCTTGCTTATGTGCCATTAAATCAGTGCTGACACATAGCAGCTATTTAGACCAGGGGTCGGTAACCTTAAACCTTCAAAGAGCCACAAAGGTCCTAACCGGAAGCCCCCCATTCAATTCTGGAGCTGGAAGTCTGGTTCCCCCACCATAGAGTCTCCTAGTGCGGTGTCCTTTTTCATCTACCTGTCCTAACCAAAAGCCCTATCAATTGTGGAGCAGACCGGAATACCCACCCCTTGCCATAGAGTCTCCTCCTGGCATGCCATGCTTTCCCCCGCTAACCGGAAGCTCCTCTCAAAATTGTGGCACTGACCAGTGACAGGGGGCCGCAGCAGAGGGATAAAAGAGCCACATGTGGCTCCAGAGCTACGGGTTGCTGATCTAGACAGACCTTGAGGTAGGGGTGATCTGTCCCTAGTCTTGCAATTCAGATCTCTCAACAGTAGTGGAGAAACAAACCAAAAAGCCACTAATGCATGAGACAGAAAAGAAACAACAGGGAGAAAGCATCTTTTACACATGCCGTAAACTCATACTGCCACATTACTATGTTACCTTTCTAGTATCCAAATAGCAATGCTCACAGGCCACATATTTGGGCCATTTTTCTCTGAGAAAACCAAGAGTGTTCTGGTTGAAAGCTCATCTTTCTCTATAGGAAAAGTATTCTATATACATTGGGGATCTAGTTCCATTGCCAAGTATTGACTGACACACACTGGCAGAAGGAATTCACTGCACTCATTTCACACTTTTCAGTGTGAACAGAGAAAAACCATGGTGAAGCTTCTGGTTTGTTTTGTTTTTTTTAATTGATTGATGGATTGGATTTATTCTGCATTGCTTAGATTTAAACTTCAGACAGGCATGTTTGGTATGAATACAGGTAGTCCTTGACTTACAAACACAATGGAGCCCAAAATTTCTGTTGTTAAGTGAGACATTTGTGGAATGAGTTTTGCCCCATTTTACGAACTTTCTTGCCACAGTTGTTAAGTAAATCACTGCAGTGGATAAGTTAGTAATCCAGTTATTAAGTGAATCCGGCTTCCCCCATTGACTTTGCTCATCAGAAGGTCACAAAAGGGGACACAGCGACAGTCATTAATATGAACCGGTTGCCAAGCATCTGAATTTTGATCATATGATTATGGGGATGCTGCAAAGTTCATAACTGTGAAAAACAGTCGTAAGTCACTTTTTTCAATGCCGTTGTAATTTTGAACGGTCACTAAATGAACTGTTGTAAGTCGAGGACTACCTGTACCATGATGTTGAATTGAGATTTTGATGAGGATATGCTGAGAAGTACATGGCACACGAAATCTCTCACAGTAGCACATTGGAAGAGCTTAGAGCGAACATAACTGAAGAAATTGCCTTTTTTTTTTTTTTTATTTGATTTATATGCCGCCCTTCTCCGGAGACTCAGGGTGGCTTACAATGCGTTAAGCAATAGCCTTCATACTTTTGTATATTTATACAAAGTCAGCTTATTGCCCCCCAAACTGGGTCCTCAATTTACCTACCTTAAAAAGGATGGAAGGCTGAGTCAACCTTGAGCCTGGTGAGAGTCGAACTTACAGTAATTGCAGAAGTTGGTGTTAATCACAGTGCTATCAGTCTGCTGAGCCACCAGGCCCTTTTTGGTGGTGAGATGGGTGGCAAACAAATTGAATGAATGAATGAATGAAGCACCCTCTCCAAAAAGAATAGTTGGCCCCTACAGAGTGGCCCCTACTTTGAAGGCCTTTTCCTTTTCCTAGGTCAGAGTTGTTACAGTGTCATTCTTTGCTGCTTATTGTGATTCTATTGTGGTTTATATTTATTGTCATGGTTATTATGGCTCCTGATCTTTCTCTCCTTCTCATGCTGATTTGGGGTTTTCATGTAGTTTTTTATATTATTTTACTTTTATGATAACTATTAACTCTCTACCTAGAAAATTCCTGAGGTGGAGTTCTCCAAAAATACGTAGAGAGGGTGGTATTAAAGTGTGGCCAAAGGGGAAAACTAGTTTGAGACATGAGTGAAAGAGTTCAGCTGGGATTGGGGAAACCCATGTTGTAATCTACCTTTATTCACAGAAATTCTCTGGGTGATTGTGGGTCACTCTCTTCTTTCCCTTGACATATGGCCCAGTATTATGGTGGTAGAAAAAATAAAAAGGAAGGATGCTATGTACGCCATCTTGAGCTTCTGAAAGAAACACGGGCTATAAATCCAAATTAAGAAATAAACAGATTAATCCACCAGTGTGCTGAAGTTCTTCACAGTTCTTTTTTTCTAATTTTAATTTGTAGTCTCAGTACTGCATTAACCACTAGTAGACAAGGGTGATTAAAAGGCCTTCAGCTCTGTTCACTATAAATTGTAGGGATTTCACTAAATGGACAAAATGCAACTGTGCCTATATAAACCTTCCCAATATGGAGAGTGCCCTCTCTCTCCCTCCCTCTCTCTCTCCCCCTCTCTCTCTCCCCCTCCCTCCCCTCCCCCTTCCTTTCTCTCTCCCTCTTCCCCTCCCTCTTCTCTCTCTCCCTCTCTCTCCCCCTCCCTCCTCCTCCCTCTCCCCTCCCCTCTCCCTCTCTCCCTCTCCCCTCCCCTCTCTCTCCCTCTCCCTCTCCCCCTATCCCCCCTCTGTTCCTCCACCCCTTCAATCTTTGGGCCATCCTTGTCTATTACACAATTTTGCCCTATAATTGGTTTGCCCTGCACTATGTAGGAGAGGTTAATCAGTTGAGTTTCCAAGCAGGAGGAAGAAATAATTTGGTCAGTCAATATTTGGGGACAGTGGGGACAGTGACAAACGACAACCCTTGCTGAAAATGATGTGTATTCCTCACCAATCCTCCTTCACTATTTTGGTCTGTCTGTCTGTCTGTCTGTCTGTCTCCCAATGCCTTTTCCCCTTGGGCTGACATCTTTGTGAAATCAGTTTGTGTTGCAGTGTGGAAAAATCATCACATGAGGACTGTTACCAATTACTTCATAGTCAACCTCTCCTTGGCCGATGTCCTGGTCACCCTCATTTGCCTTCCTGCAACACTAGTGGTGGATATCACCGAAACGTGGTTCCTTGGCAACAGCCTCTGCAAGGTGATCCCTTATTTGCAGGTATTGTTTGCCAGGATTGTGGTGCACATTGAAAAACAGGTTAAGTTGGGGGTTCGATGCTACCAAACCTATAATTCAGAAACTAGATTATGATTAGCATATTACTTCACAGCAAAAAAAAATTAGACTAAGAGGGGCTTAATTATTTCATGGTCAGAATTACCGTATTTTTCAGAGTATAAAACACACCTTTCCCCCCTAAAAGGGGGTGAAAATTTAGGTGCGTCTTATACACCGAATACACCACCCACTGGTCCCCACCCTTTGGCCTCTGCCTCGCAGCAGTTACCTCCTTGCAAGCAAACAGCAAGAAAAAACAGCTCCTTTCAGCTTCAGCACAGCCTAATTAGCACAAGTTGATTGGATCAGCCTCCTGACTCTCAGCTGATTTGATCTCAGTTGTTTTGCGCAGGACTCTGCTGCTTGCTGCAAAGAGGTAAATTGCTGGAGCAAATGTTTTTTCCCTTGTGCTAATCAAGCTATGTTGAAAACGAAAATGAAAGTAAAGCAGGCTGTTGGCTGTTGGCTGTTGGCTGTAATGAGGCAAAATTGCTCAGAGGCAGAGGGAGATTTCTTTTTCTTGTTTTCCTCACCAAAAAAGGCAGGTGCGTCTTATACTCCAGTGCGCCTTACACTCCGAAAAATACAGTATGCCAGTTGCAATTGTACATTTGCTATAACATCTAAATAAAGTAGAAACCAAAGCATAAAACTGTACATAGAATAAGCAAAGCAAGAAATAAATTTCTTTCTGAAGCAATCTAGAATACTTGGAAAGAAGCAAAACGTACTAACAATTAAAATGTTAGCTTCGTGAAGACATTCCAAGTGTGCGAAAGACTGGGCAATGCCATGGTTCCAGGTATCCACAGAATAATTTTATGAAAAGAAGTGGACAAAAGAGTGGCATGCATGAGTGATCCCATGGCCTCTACAAATAACATTAAAAAAGTTACATTCAGATGATGTGTGAAGTGGAATACACTCAAATATAGGTAGTCCTCGACTTACAACAGTTTGTTTAGCAGTTCAAAGTTACAACAGCACTGAAAAAAGTGACTTATGATCGTTTTTCACGGTTACGACTCTTTGCAACATCCCCATGATCATGTGATCAAAATTCAGATGTTTGGCAACTGGCTCATGTTTATGATGGTTGCAATGTCCCAGGGTCATGTGATCATCTTTTTCTGACCTTCTGGTCAGCAAAATCAAAGAGGAAATCAGATTCATTTAACAATCGTGTTACTAACTTAACAACTGCAGTGATGTGGCAAAAAAAGTCATAAAATGGGACAAGACTAACTTAACAAATTTCTCACTTAGCAGCAGAAATTCTAGGCTCAATTGTGGTCATAAGTCGAGGACTTTCTGTATGAATGAATCTCTGTAGTCCAGGGATGTCAAACTCAAGACCCGCGGGGTGCTTAGATCTGGCCTGTGGGACCACCCTGAAAACAATGAAGGACCAGCCCACGGTGCCCCTGCAAGCAAAAACAGAGCTCGGGAGGGTCACATGCAGCCCTCCCAGGCTTCGTTTTCAGCCGCGATGGCTCCTACAGCCCTCTGCCAGTGAAAACGGAGCTCCCTGTTCACTGGCAGAAGGCTTCAGGAGGCTGTTGCAGTTGAAAATGGAACCTCGACAAATGACGTCAAGCTGGCCTTGCCCATCCTGGCCACGCCCCCCCAGCCCCCGAGGTGAAACCCTGGTGCGGCCCTCAATGAAATTGAGTTTGACACCCCTGCTGTAATCAGTTCTTGATGGTTCAGTTTTCAAATGAAAGCATAGAAATTGCTATTATGGATGAGAATGAATGAGTGAGGTTCTCCACACAATAGAGACCATACAGTTGAGATTCTTTAGTCACATGAACACTCCTGAGCCTATATGGCTGCAACAGCATAGGAGCCAAATACGACGACTTCTGCGACATCAACAGGAGTGCCAACCCTGGAGGCAAAATCTCATTCCTACGTTCCCACCTCACAAGAAACAGAGTTGCCTGCAAACATAGGACAGTAATGGATGACCTGCTTTAGTAACGTGCACTGCAAACAAGGTTTCAGTAATGCCTTGTAGTGGAACCCCCCCCCATAACAAGTTAAATCAAAATCCTCCTTCTGATCACTTCTGAACTTCGTGCTTGATGTGAAGAAGAATGAAACTCTGATTTGGGGTTTTACCAATTAGACTGATAGATCTTCATAGACATGGCTTGTTCATATTATTATGAAAAAGCAAAAAGCTGTGATTTGATGTTAATGCCCTATTTTACTGTAACAGAGAGTCGGAAGTCAATGCTTCTTTTTCTTTTCTTTTTTTCTTAACTTTCCTCACTTCTCTTTTCCTTCCCTCCCCCCCCCCCATTTTTCTATTTACTTCGTATTTTATAATACTTTATAATTTAATAAAAATGTTGACTGATTAAAAAAAAATCCTCCTTCCTCCCTGCACCCAGTATATTGGAAACACACATATGGATTGTTACTTGCTTGGTTTTCTTTTGTGCTGTGAAAAACTCCCTGCCTATCAGGGAGGAAAAATTTAGCCTAACTTCCTCATGATACATCAGAATATGGGAATTGTCTTTCTGTCTGCTTTTTTTTTTTTTTTTTAAGGAAATTAGATCTTGTCAGTCCTTATTAGCAGTGCAAAGTCATAATATAGCCCAACTGAATCCTGCTTTCCTAGCAATAGGACTAAGGTTAAAGGGTTAAAACCAAACTTTTCCAATTGTAACCATGGTGGGAGAGACTATTTCTCTGATTATGCTTCTTTTGTCACTCACTGTATATTGTTCTCTGGCCTTTCTCTTCTTCCCTTTGTAGACCGTGTCAGTCTCTGTTTCTGTACTGACCCTTAGCTGCATTGCACTGGATCGATGGTATGCAATTTGTCATCCGCTGATGTTCAAAAGCACAGCCAAGCGAGCCAGGAACAGCATCCTTGTTATCTGGATGGTGTCCTGCCTTATCATGATCCCTCAGGCAATCGTTATGGAGTGCAGCAGCATGTTTCCCGGATTAGCTAACAAGACTGTCTTGTTCACTGTCTGCGATGAGCATTGGGGAGGTGAGTGCTGGTGGCCTCGATCTTGGGATATGCAAGGCTCACTGTGACAGGAGAAAAAAAAAGATGGCTACTTGTTATCAAGTGTGTTACAGAAGACTAATTAGACTTTGTTGGTTGGCAGATATTTTTGTACAGTATATAGCCTTCAGTGCTAAGGGGTGCCTTTCTTTGACTTTAATCTCGAAAGTATTAATTGCAATATATCAGCCATGTCGCTATGGTAATTCAGTCATGTTCTGCCATTCAAGAGAAGAGCTATTGATCACCTGATGTGTAGAAGAGCTTTTGTTTACATGGCCATGGACCTGGGTAGCTAACAGGTTGCCTGAAGTTCAGAAATCAGGATGATTAATTTGGGGTCCAAAGTCCCCTTTTTATAAGGACCTCCGGGTCTCCCTGCACCTATTGCTGAAGACTAAGAGCCATTTCTGACATTTTGTCTTGGCCAATGACTGAACATTATAGCATGAAATAATTTGCTTTAAGCATACAGAGCCCCTCAACTTCCCTATCAAACCCAATACTGTCAATAGTTTGATTTAGTTCCACTCATTCTATAGCACTCCATACTCAACAAAAATAATTGTACCCTTTACCTTAGAAAATTGTCTGCCACTTTTGGTCAAAATCAAGATTAGTCCTTCTGTAGTGGCTAAGACGCTGAGCTTGTCAATTGAAAGGTCAGTAGTTCAGCGGTTCGAATCCCTAGTGCCACATAACAGGGTGAGCTACTTTTCCCAGCTTCTGCCAACCTAGCAGTTCGAAAGCACGTAAAAAATGCAAGTAGAAAAATAGGGACCACTTTTGGTGGGAAGGTAACAGGGTTCCGTGCATCTTTGGCATTTAGTCATGCCGGCCACATGACCACAGAGATGTTTTCAGACAGCGCTGGCTCTTCAGCTTTGAAACGGAGATGAGCACTGCCCCCTAGAGTTGGGAACGACTAGCACATATGTGTGAGGGGAACCTTTACCTTTACTTTATGTAATCTGTAATCCAGATTGAATTACTGGATTACAGACTAACAATGGAAAGGAAGAATTCCTTCCTTCCTTCCTTCCTTCCTTCCTTCCTTCCTTCCTTCCTTCTCTCTCCTAAGCATCATTGTTGCAAAATCTGGAACACCAACTAAAACCAGGGCTTCATTTCTGAAGGACTTCCAAGATTTCCTCCCCTGCAGGACCTTCTTTAAGTCACTGAAGTTACCCATGGAAAGCTTTAATAAAGGTTCTAACAGCAAAACAGCAGCACTGCTTCATTTCAAAGACAGTTCCCGTGACCTTCTGGAAATGCCAGAAGAAGTTTTGGTATGAGAAATGTACATGCTGAGCTTCTTTTCCTGGCCAATTATAGGACCTAATAAGGACTTTAAAGGCAATCATCATAAGTACTTATTTAAAATAGTTATAAACTGCCCCTCCCTCACTTCAGGAGGTATGCAGAATTTAACATTTCCACATACTAACACATAAATTAAAACATTACAATACATCATAAGACAGCGGTTGTACTCAATCCAGCTCTTCAGTGTCCAGGAGAATATAAGGATTTTTTTTAAAAAATCCTTTATAAATATTTTACCTAAACAATGAATAAGGTTTGCTCTTCCATTTTGTATGAAATTAAGTCCTATTTAGGTTCACCTGAACCAGCTTTTGCAGCATACCAATAAAGGAGAATGTTTGCAGCTCAGGGTTGACATGAGGAGTCCTTGGTGCTCCCTGAGCTCACTTGTTTGCTTGGAGATATTTCATCACCCAAACTAGGTAACCTCATCAATGCATCAACAGCACTGATGATGTTACCTAGTTAGGGTAATGAAATGCATGCAAGAAAACAAGCAAGTTAAGAGAGCACCAAGGACTCCTCATTTTGCAGCATATAATAGCAAATCAAATGAGATATTACTTATGTGCTGTTTTATTTCCTTTGCAGCTGAATTTTTCCCCAAAATGTATCATACCTGTTTCTTCCTGATAACCTATCTGGCTCCATTGTGTCTTATGGTGCTGGCCTACTTACAGATATTTCAAAAGCTGTGGTGTCAGCAGGTGGGTCCTTTGCTACGAAATCCATCTTTCAGATTTATGCCAGCTAAGCCTTTTAACCTCAAAGGAATTATGTAATTGATTGAAAGGTATAGTGATCTAGATTGAAATAAATTATCCTTGGCAATGTAATATTCGCGTCATCAGCTATCTAGCAAAAATAAATAATTCCATGCCCCTAACCAAGAGTTTATCAATTCAATGTTAAAACTAAAATACCGAGATCTTATAACATCCTGCTAGGAATGTTTATTTTCCCCCTGTATTCCCATATTTCTTAAATTATGTCTGAATGAAGGGATAAGGAAAGAAACTGAAACATAATTTAAAATAAAGTTCTGATGAATATTTCCTAAACAAATTTCCACTGTATTAAATGCATTTTTAAAAAATATAATATTAAACAAGGGTCATTGCTACTTTCATTCATAGAAAATACATTATATTTGATTTTTGAATGTAATCACTGACATGAGCATGCTCTTATTTGTTTGCTGTGTTGCTTGCTTGTTTAAAACATTGATGTAGCTGCCCAACTTCCAACTCTGGGCAGCTCCTAATTATGTTAAAAGAACTAAAAACATATTTACTATTAGTTTTTCTAATACAGGGCTGTCAAATTTGCAGCCTGCAGGCTGGATGTGTCACGCGCTAGCTGTGCCCATGCCCAGTTTAGCGAAGGGGAGAAAAGTCGCTATATGTCACATGACGACACGAGTTTGACACCCCTGTTCTAATACACTCAGTGACATTTTGATAGCAGATATATCATATTTAACTGTTAGAAAAATTAACAACCATTATGTGTTTCCCTCCATCTATGGGGTTAGAGCACATCAAGAAAATCTGTTACAATGGTAACTTGGTACTCAACTGCTTTGAAACTCATCAAATTTGGTACTCAACACATTTTGATGCAAAAATTTTGTCCCAGTACCCATCATTTGCTTGGTACTCAAACCACAAACTAGAAATTGATGGTATTGGCCGCCTTGTGATTCACTAAATTATTTCTTATGGGAAAAATTTGTTTGATGCTCATCATCCATCTTAGAACCAGTTAACATGGAGTACTGAGGTACCACTGTATTTAACAAGTAATCTTTATAGTTGTCAACCTTCTGTTTCTATACATAAACATAAAATGGTTTCCACCTTTTTAGCACATGCTGTATGTCTTTGGAATAGAGTGGAGAGATTCTTTGGCTTGTTTAGAATATATTGCCCCCAAATCTTATCTTCTTTACCTTGATTTTTGACCCATTCATACAGTTCATCGAGTGTTTTACAAATGTGATATATCACAACAGAGAGAGAGAGAGAGAAACAAAGAAAAAAACTAAATAAAAATACCAACAAAAAGAAGAAAGAAAGATTCGGTCCTATTATCAACCATGTAGAATACTAATGATCAATTTTTCCATTATAATTATCATCAGCCAATATCTAGAGAGAGAACAAGCTTATCTTATCAACCCGAGATTTTAAATCTGAGGTTATTCTATCTTTCCTATATAGAAGAGCAATCTTTTTTTATTTTTCCTGTGTTAAATCTATAGATCTTCCCATAGAGGTAAATTCCAAATTTGTGGTTATTTAATTCTAATGTGTATTCACATCCTTTAATAAACTTTATAACTTTACCCTATAATAAACTTTATAAGAGGGATGTCAAATTCATGATGACATGTCGTCGTCACGTGACGTATCACAACTTTCCCCCCCCCCCTTCGCTAAACCAGTGGCGGGCGTGACCAGCGTGTGATGCATCCAGCTTGCAGGCCACAATTTTGACACCCCTGCTTTATATCTATTGTGGAAACAGACTGATCCTAACAAAAAGGATCTAGATTTAAACAACATTGTTTCCCCAAGGATACCTTCCATCTTCATCATAGGAAGATGATCACACTAAAGATGATCACTCTCTCTGAGTGGAAATGGATCTACTTGGCAACTTTGGCTGAATAATCAGTGCAAAATTTCCCTTGGGTCAAATGGCAATCATTAAGATTCCGATTATTATGTACTGTCAAGATTCCAGGAACGTCATCCATTGTTCAGAGGAAATGGAGGCCGCTGCAGTCCACAGCACAGACGCGGGAACTGGGGCCACCAGCACACTTGAGGATTAGTGTGGTGGCAGCTGAAATCAAGCAGATTAAAACCAGGAGGAAAACAGCCCGGATGCTCATGGTGGTGCTCTTGGTTTTTGCCCTCTGCTATCTCCCCATTAGCATTCTCAACATCTTGAAAAGGTACTTCCATGTGCAAAGTCTGGAGATACTAAAAATAAATAGCTTGGGTATCTGTCTGGGGTGTGAAAATGTATTCAACAATAATTGGGTGGCAATGATTTCTATTGAGAGCCCTCCATGTTTACAGGTAGTCCTTATGACCACATTTGGAACTGGAACTTCCATTGCTAAGTAAGGCAGTTGTTAAGTGAGTCCCACCCAGTTTTACAATCTTTTTTATTGTAAAGTAGTATTAGTTATTTTTTATCCAGTCTGTAGAGATTCTCAGTCATCCAGGTCATGACTGTCCCAAATGTGCTTTTTCAGGAGGCAACTGGACTTTCTGGTTTTTTTCTTTGAAGACTTTTCACTTCTCATCCAAGAAGCTTCTTCAGCTCTGACAGGATAGTGAGGAATGGAAGGATTTATATTCCTTGCAGACAACTGGTAATCCGTACCCTTTTAAATAGTCGTTAAAACACTTGGAGGTTTATCTGTGTCCTCAGGGTCACCTGAGTAGTACTCCTGGTTCCTGTAGTCTGCAATTTTTTCTCTGAATTTTTTTTTTATCCAGTCCTTAATTATACAAATAACTCAAAGCAAATTATGTAATCCTTAAGCAAATCATCCAGTCGTTAAACAAATCTGTCTTCTCCCATTGACTTTGCTTATCAGAAGCTGGGAAAGTCACAACTGGAGATCCAGGAATGCCAGAATGCTAAAACCCTCATAAATGCATGCCAGTTGCTAAGCACTCAATTTTGATTATGTGATTGTGGAGACACTGTACTGGTTGTAAGTACAAGGACCAGGAGAGGTCACTATTTTCAGCACCATTGTAACTTTGAATAGCCATTCAATGAATGGATGTAAATTGAAGACTATCTGTAATTTTCTTTCCCACACAAGCATTGGGGTAGGACAGGGGTCGGCAACCTTAAAAACTCAAAGAGCCACAAAGATCCTAACCGGAAGCCCCCCATTCAATTCTGGAGCCGACCGGAAGTCCGGTTTCCCCATCATAGAGTCTCTTCGTAGTGCAGCATACTTTTCCTCTACCTGTCCTAACCAAAAGCCCTATCAATTGTGGAGCCGACCAGAAAACCTGCCCCTTGCCATAGAGTCTCCTCCTGGCATGCAGTGCTTCACCCCCCCAAACCGGAAGCTCCTCTCAAAATTGTGGCACTGACCGGTGACAGGGAGCTGCAGCAGAGGGATGAAAGAGCCACATGTGGCTCCAGAGCCACAGGTTGCTGACCTCTGGGGTAGAATAAAGTTTTCATGGATGCTAATAGGATTTATTTTCACATAAGGTTCATTACAGATCATTTCAAGGAATATTTGTCTTCCTCTCTCCCCCTATGTTTTTTTATTAATAGACTGATTTTAAAGTTTAAAATACGCTAATAATAAAAAAATGTGTTTTTAAATGTTATAAACATGTTCTGAAAGTGATAACATTGGAAGCAATGTAGGAAGTCAAAAGGCTGCAGGAGACACTTACTGACACTAGAGGGCCCATCAGCCAATGGACTCAGGTGAAGAAGCATGGGCAAATGGAGAGTATTGCTACACAAGGGCAAAAAAATTATATTGTTCCAGTGAGGAGCCAAACTCTGAGAACAATATAAGCAAGAAGATCTCATACTTAAAAATGAGTATGAGAATGAGAATTCTCAGTATGAAAATGAGAATAATGCTAATATGAAAATTATTAGCATTATTCCTGAGGAAGTCACTCTTGGTCTGAGCTGGTCAGCAGAGGTTGGGCAGTAGATCATTTCTACAGGCATCAAGGCCGACAAGGAATGTAAATCAGTTTTCTTATAGTGCTCCAGATATTTCAGAATTCATGTCCTTCATCTCCTGTCAGCAGTCTGGGTAGGAGTGGGGGGAGTTGAGGTCCAATACACCTGGAGGGCTCTAAATTGGAGATCTTAAGGCTTTCAGTTCTTCCAGATTGTGGTTTGGATTAGGATTGCAGAGTTAATGCTGATCCTTCCCAGGAATGTTACCGCTTGCATTTAATGCACTTAATGTTTCATCAAGTTTGGTGACCTCAATTCAAGGCCCAACACTGTCAAAAGAAATCAAATCAAATTGCAGGTTAGAAAAGTATGCATATTGAATGCCACATCTCTACTGAATGGGAAGGTGACTTTATAATGGGATGCACTGATGAAAAAAAAATGTTTCTGGTTTACATTTAGAACATAGAACCATGATGGCGAACCTATGGCACGCCTGCCACAGGTGGCACGCATAGCCATATCAGTGGGCACGCGAGCTCAGCTCCGGTGTGTATGCGCGTGCCGGCCAGCTGATTTTTAGGCCTTCTGGGCCCACCAGAAGTAGGGAAACAGGTTGTTTCCTGCCTCCGGAGGGCCTTGTGGGGTGGTGGGGAAGGCCCATTTTTCTCTCTCACCTGGCTCCAGAGCATTTCTAGGAGTCTGGGGAGGGCAAAAATGGCCTTCCCCACCCCCACCCCCCGGAGGTCCTCCAGAGGCCAGAAATGGCCTGTTTGCCAACTTCCGGTGGGACCAGAAGGCCTGTTTTTTGCTGTCCCCAGCCTCCAGAGCCTCTCTAGGATTCTGGGGAGGGCAAAAATGGCCTTCCCCACGCCCCCAGAGGTCCTCCGGAGGCTGAAAACGGCCCGTTTCCCCACTTCCCACCAGAAGTTGGCAAATGGGCCATTTCTGGCCTCTGGAGGGCCTCTAGTGGGGAAGGCCGTTTTCACCCTCCCGAGACTCCTATAAAGGCTCTGGAGCCAGGTGAGAGAGAAAAACGGGCCTACCAGGTCATCACGTTCCAGGAACGGGGGGAGCGGGGGTGGGGGTGGTGTCGTGCGCACATGCGCGTGGGCAGTGGGCATAGAATTATGGGTGTGGGCATGCACGCACACAACCCCCCTCCCCCTCTCCTGGCACACGATGGCAAAAAGGTTAGCCATCACTGACATAGAATGATGTTGGAAGGAACCTTGGAGATCTTCTAGTCCAACCCCCGCTGCCCATTCCAGACAAATGGCTGTCCAGCCTTTTTTGTAGATTTGGAATGTACAGAGGCCGGCAAAAAGCTCACATTATAATACTCATTTTTATGAAAGAGGACCATATCAGGGACACTGAAATAATTCTCAATCTGGAGAACCCTTTCTTAGTGGTGTTCACTGATTTCTGCAGAAAATCCTCTTTTTTTTTTTTTTTTTTAGATAAATACTTCTTATTGCAGAGAATCCTGGAAAAGGGCCTTCTGTACTGTATGTAATTTTAAAGGTCAGGCTGACTTGGGAGAGACGTATTCTTAAAAATTTTGAGAAAAGGTATGAGTAGTCCCCACTCAGATATTCACAAAAATGTGGATTAGAAGTCAGTGGGCAGCATAAATCCAGTCATTTCTGTATATTTAGAAGTTGATTGTTATAGCATTTGTCTAAAATCTATACATTTACCTCTGTTGGAGAATTCAGAAACATATACAGTTCCTCATTCAACTAAGATGAGCAAGGGTAAACTAGTGAAGTGGTACTGTTATCAACATCCCTTTGTCTGCTACTTCTTTGTTCATGTATTGCTTTTATAGCATTTTTCATAATTTTGAATATTTTTAATGATTAATGATGACAATGCATTTAGGTATTTACTGATTGTGTGTCAAGTTTCGAGGTTGTCTCGAATAAAATGCATTTCAAACAAAATCTTTGAAGAAAAAACTCCTATGTATTGAGCACGACATCCTAACCTGACTCCAAACGAAGCCAACACTGACTTCCAGCCCCAAAACCCTGTGTTAGCTGTGTCGTGCCAGCTTGTTTGGAGAGACGAGCAACTAGATAAATTAGATAAATTAATAAAATGCATCTGGTTCTTGGTATGTGTGGACCTTACCTGTAGTTCTGTCAAGGCACAACCAATCAACATGACAATAATATATAAGAGATGATACATATGGAGAACATCCTTTACAACTTCATGTTAATATAGTTACGACACCACTGCACTCATCTGGAATTCAGAATTTTGATCTATATACCATATAACTATTTTACATGGTTTATCAATACCAGAAATGTGATGCGTTTTCTACTTCTAACATTTTTTCTTTCTTTTTGTAAGAGTTTTTGGGATGTTTAACAATGCTGAAGATCGAGAAACAGTGTATGCTTGGTTTACTTTCTCCCACTGGCTTGTGTATGCAAATAGTGCAGCAAACCCAATTATTTACAACTTTCTTAGTGGTAAGTTGATTACTTGTGCCTTTTTATCATGTTAAAAAACAACAGCTAAAGAGTTAATGCAATTTATTTACTTTGCTGAATTTATGGTCTTCTAAAAGAGAAAGATGTTTGTACCACTGTTGTATAGAGGGAGGAAACAGAGATTTAAAGAAAATGCATCATTCAAGCAATCCAATAAACAAATCTAGAATCTGAGTACCCATTGTGTATGTGTGTGTGTGTGTGTGTGTGTGTATGTATGTATATGTATATGTATATGTATATGTATATGTATATGTATATGTATATGTATATGTATATGTATATGTATATGTATATGTCTTTGGTTATTCGGGTTTTCTCCCATGTAAAATTGGAAGTGTCTTGGCGACGTTTCGACAAAGTCTCATTCGTCATCTTCAGGCTGGTGTTTTCAGCTTCGTGCTTTTAGGAGCAATGTGTGATCACAGCTGTTTCTTCCTTTTAACTGCCAGTGGGGGTGTGAACTGATTGGGTGGGAGCTTGGCTGTGTTCTGATTGGGTGGAGGTGTGTTCTGATTGGGTGGGGGTTTGGCTGTGCTCTGATTGAAAGGAAGAAACAGCTGCGATCACACATTGCTCCTAGAAGCACGAAGCCGAAAACACCAGCCTGAAGATTTCTGGGCTTTTTTTCTTTTTCTTTTCTTCTGGCAGCCAGCAGACCCTTTGCTGCCCATTGGGAGACTAAGATAGATCTATTTCGGCTTTATAAGGCCTCATCAGTTAGCCACACCCTCATCTCATCTCATGTGTGTGTGTGTGTGTGTGTGTGTGTGTGTGTGTGTGTGTATGTAGGTCTTTGGTTATTCGGGTTTTCTCCCGCGTAAAATTGGAGGTTTCTTGGCAATGTTTCGACGAAGTCTCATTCGTCATCTTCAGGCTGGTGTTTTTGGCTTCGTGCTTCTAGGAGCAATGTGTGTGATCACAGCTGTTTCTTCCTTTTAACTGCCAGTGGGGGTGTGAACTGATTGGGTGGGAGCTTGGCTGTGTTCTGATTGGGTGGAGGTGTGTTCTGATTGGTTGGGGGTTTGGCTGTGCTCTGATCGGATGGGTGTGTGTTCAGTTTAGGTGGGGACTTGGTTGTGCTCGGGTTAGTCTGAGTAGCAGGGGGATTTGAGCTGGTGAGCTGTGTTGCTGTTGTTTGGCTTTGTGTTCGTGGCCGTGCCACCTCTTCATGGTGGGTGTCAGTCTGCTTCATGTATGGAACACCCACGAAAACCTCAGAAAACATATATATATATATATATATATATATTTCAATATCAAACAGATTTTTACTTTTAGTTTTCCATTAGTTGCAGTCACACAAAAAACAAACAATGGACAAATTTCAACACAGCAGAAGATCTGCCTAATATTGTAACAGAAGATCTGTCTAATATTATTGATTGATTGATTGATTGATTGATTTGATTTGATCTGATTTGATTTCTATAGCTGTCCATCTAAATCAGTGACTCTGGGCATCTTATAATTCTGAAAATATAGAACAATAAAAGCAATAAAAATATAGTATGAGGTGTGTTCTCTGATATATAGGAGATAGTGATTTCATTCCTGATTAACTTCTTAACTAATGATCAAGTTCAAGAACTTTTTTATATCTTTTTATATCTCTCTTTTTGAATTCCTTGGTGCTTGGGCTAAAAAGAAGGAATTGGCCTTCACCAACATCTTCCTCTGCAAAACATTCCCTCACCTCCTGCAATCCCTTATGCTAAAAGAGTCCAGTAGTCCTGGATTCGAACTGTGGGGGCTCTGGTTTGAGTCCTCCCACTATCAGAGAGCTCATGGGATGATTTTTTAAAAAATACTCAAAAACTCAGCTCAATCTATATTGCTTTGGGGATATATATATTCACAAAAACCATACTGAGTTCTGGAGAAAAATAGGAAAATAAATGCAATCTGATAATAAAGACTTCTGTACTTCCCATTGTGTACCAAGAATGATTAAAAGTTGAAATCTTTTGCCCAGGATGCTTATGACAGGCTGAAAGGGTGATTTCCCTGCTAGTCACTTTGCTTTGCTTTGCTTTGCTTTGACTTCTATTCTATTCTATTCTATTCTATTCTATTCTATTCTATTCTATTCTATTCCATTCCATTCCATTCCATTCCATTCCATTCCATTCCATTCTTTGCATCTTTAAGACAGCACAGATGTTCAAGCCCTGAAGTCAGTTTAAATGAGATGATTTTGCTACATGCTTCACCAACTCTGCACACAGGAACTCAAAATCAGAATCATAATTGCATACATAAATCATCTTAGAAAACCTGACAGCCTTCCCAGGTAGACCGACAGGAAACACGACCAGATTAGCTAATTATTGTCAGGCTACATTAACAGAATCTTACAAGTCTGAAAATACAAATCTCCCATCATCTCCTTTACAGCCTGATAACCCAGAAAGGAGTCCCTTCTGAGCCTCTTTCTCCACCCATTATGCAGCTTTGGGCTATGCTTCCTCTTATCTGACTGTTCCTTAGGCAGCATCTCTTCTTCCCTGCCCTGCCTCCCAAGGCCATTCCCATATACCATTACATCACCTGCCGCACAGCTGCCATCTCGTTGCCTTCTCTGGATTATGCAAATCACATCAGACACTTTGAACGGAAAAGAAACAAATGTAGGAATTGTGTTATGCATGCCCTGTTTTGGAGGACATGGTCTGGCTGCTTCTTCATAATGGTCTTGGTCTTTGATTCGACAGGAAAATTTCGGGAAGAATTTAAAGCTGCTTTTTCTTGCTGCTGCTTTGGTATTGGCCATCCCCAAAATGCTCCACCCAGAGGAAGGACAAGAATGGACAGTCGGAAATCCTTGACGACCCAGATCAGCAATTTTGATCATGCTGCAAAGCTCTCAGAACATGTTGCCTTGACTGGTATAGTCTCACTGCCCACAAACAGCCCTGGATTTGTTGGGAGCTGATAGATGGCTACTTTCTGTGATAAATCATTGTCAATCAATCTGTGAATCCAGTTATCTTTTGGTCCAGGAACCAAAAACCTTGAAAACCGCAAAGTGAAATAACAGATTATAACAAAGATAAAATAGACTAATATACAAAATTGGATGATTTAAAAAAAAAGAAAAAGAAAACAGAACTTTGTTTGGAAATGTATGTGATTTTTCCTAGCCTATACTATTCAACTGTAAGAAATGATTGTTGGGAGACACATATGCACTCATTTTCATTGGTATGATCTGCCGATGGGCTTGGTTCCTATCCAAAGAATATTTCATTGTAAGATTTAAATTACAAATAACCAGAAGGTGTTGAACAATGAAATTATTATGAAATAATAATACAATGAAATGGTAGAGAAAGTATGTAGTGTTTTAATGCTTTTATCAGTGGCCATAGGAAGAGTCTGTATTTTCCTTGTATAATGAATGTATTTTGTGTGTATGCATGTAAGTTCTTTTGCTATCCTATTCTTTGACATTTCTTATGCCCCAGCAAATTGGCTCCCATTCCACTCTGTTCTCAGAGAGTTAAAGTGACAGACAAACAAATTAAGACCTAAATCCCTTATTTTTCTTTCCAACTTTTGCTTACAATGCAAACAATTAAAAAAGGTCAGATCATTTCTTCCTTTCTCATTTTATACTAAATTTTTAAGTATGGTCTGATGTCCTGTTGGTTAATGGTGAACTGTCTGGAAGCTTGTGTAATCCAAACAGACGAATATGCTGGAAATAATAAGCACAGAAAATGCTACTTCTAAGAGTCATTCACTTTACTTTGGAAAGGGGCTCACTCAGAGCAGAAGAAGATGCCTTTTGGCATCCTGGCCCATACAACTGAAAGGTCAGAAATGCCTCTTTAAATTGCAATTGGAAATTAATACCCAGTCCAGATACCTTGTATGCTTTAGCTTCTATTTGCTCAGAATGCTGTCTAAATAAATAATTACTCTAATTGCCTAATACTGTATATTAATATTTCTTTTTTAATTTTTGATGAAAATAAGGTCAGAGAACCTAAAGCTTTCAGGAGGGGGAGAGAGAATGAGAGGAACGGGGGAGAAAGAGAGGGGGGGGCGGGGGGGGGGGGGAGAGAGAGAGTGAAACAGATAGATAGATGATAGATAGATAGATAGATAGATAGATAGATAGATAGATAGATTATAAATAGATTGCAGTAGATATAGATGATAGATAGACAGACAGACAGACAGACAGATAGATGATAGATAGATAGAAGATAGATAGATAGATAGATAGATAGATAGATAGATAGATAGACAGACAGATATAAATAGACAGATAAATAGATAGATAATAGATAGATGATAGAGATAGATGATAGATGATAGATGTCTATGGGGATTTTCAGTCATCTAGGTTCATAGTTGTCCCAAAAGTGTTTTTTCAAGAGGCAACTGGACTTTCTTCGTTTTTCCTTGAAGACAATTTACTTCTCATCCAAGAAGCTTCTTCAAGGAAAAACAAGAAAGTCTAGTTGGCTTTTGAAAAAGCACCTTTAGGACATAGATGAAAGAGTGTGGGGGGTAGGGGGGGGAGAGAGAGATTTGTTGGCGAACATATATCATTAATATAACAGACCTTCAAAGATCACCTTCAAAGACCCTGACACTAGTAGATTAAACATATTTTTGTTTCTATATTTTTCCTAGCAACGTCTGTCTCACCACATTCCCAAACACCAGCAATTATAATAAGTTCAGTGTATGGAACTGTTTTGACCTGCTGCACAAACTTCATTTCTTTCACTTCCACTTGATTTATATCATAACCACTCAATAAAAACTTTTTTTTGTTCTTTCCAGAATTCCAACGCTAAAAAACTACTGCACTGAATTGAATTTGAATGCCTTGTTTTCCTCCATATTTCACATTCCCTACAGCTTTATTTAAGTATCTATGTCCTTCCCAGCTCACCTTCTCCAAAGTTTGGACCAACTTTTCCTGCTCATTTATGGTTATGAGAATCACTGACTAATAAAATCTAGAGAGCTGTTACCCCTCTGCTGTTGTAAAATGATGCTTATATATGCCTTTCCTCCCACATTAACAGATTTTTCTATGGTTATCAGTCTGGGAGCACAGTACAAAACGCAGCAAATTTCACATTTGTTTCGGTGATATAATTATGCCCTTGGACTTTTTGCAACAGAGCCAAGGAGATCCCTGCTTTCACCCTAGAGAAGATCTAATTCTCTTATTCTGATAATAATCAGAATAAAGTTAGTTTTTCTTCAGGACCATGCAATTTAAGCTTATCTCCAGGCCTCACTAAATCTCAAGTCAACTGGACCACAATTTTGACTTAGCATGATGTGCAAGGTGATTAGCTTATGGATCAGTGTGCTGTTTGAACCCAGAAAATTGGGTTCAGATTTATTTAATGGTATATCATGTGTTCACGTGCTATGTGAACCATGGGTTGATGAATTATAGTGAAATTCAGGCACAGAAGGAAATTCAGGAATCAAGCCAAAGGGGAATTGGCTATTTTCCTGGCTTTAATGAAAGAGTAGATCGTTATTCAGCAAGCATATTTGATCAGCAGTTAGCTTTATCGTTAGCCTGGACCTCTCCAACAGGGGTGTGTGTGTGTGTGTGTGTGTGTGAGAGAGAGAGAGAGAGAGAGAGAGAGAGAGAGAGAGAGAGAGAGAGAGAGAGAGAGAGAGAGAGAGAGAGAGAGAGAGAGAGAGAGAGAGAGAGAGAGAGGCTGTGCTTGCTCTCCAGCAAACGCAGAGCCGGCAGGTGGGAAAGGGAGCGGGTGGGAGGGAGGGCGGGCAGGTGTCCCGCCGATTCTGATTGGACCAATCGCAAGCGTTTGCTACGAGCGGAGCGCTGTCCGACGGAGCGTGGTATTGAAATGACTCCTCGTGTTTAAAGGGAGACTTCAGAGAGGATTAAAGAGCAACAGGTAGTTTGCTGTGCTCAGTCTACCTGGAACTTCCTCAGCCATGAACTCCATTCTGTTCGTCGCTGGTAAGTTTGCTTTAGTTCAACAGGAGTCTCTCTCTCTCTCTCCCCCCCCCCCCCAAACATCCATCTCTATTTATCTTTATCTATCATCTACCTCTGTATCTATTCTCTCGCTTTCTCTTCCCCCCCTTTCTTTCTCTCTCTCCACCTACCTACCTATCATCTATCTATATCGTCTAGATGTCATCTATCTCACTTATATTTCTCTCTATAATTAGGGTAACTCCCAATTATATTTGCTAGGGTTGCAGCCTTGCTTGCCTGCTAAAGGGTAAAGGGGTAAAAAGATGGGCAGCAAACAAATCTAACAAATAAATAAAATAAAATAAAATAAAATGCTTGGCAGCATCAAAGTGTGTGCTCAACATGTGTCTCTTATCAGTTTCCCAATAATTTCAATTGCACTGAAAATAATAATGGGTGATCTAATCTATTAGCTCCAAGATAATTTCTTTTCTGTCTCTTTCTCTCCTTCTTCCCCATCCCATTTTAACATCATAAAAATAAACAATGGCCTTAATTATTTTTAAAAAGAGCCAGTTTGGTCTAGTGGTTAAGGTACCAGCCTTAGGTATGAAAGCCAGCTGGGTAATATTGGGCCAGTCACTCTCAGCTCTGGGAAGCAGGCAAGGACAAACATACGAAGAAAACCGCAGGGACTAATCCAGACAGTTGCCAGGAGTCAACAATGACTTGAAGACACCCAAAATAACGTTTTTAAAGGCTAACATGTGTGACCCTTAGGGTAGAACAGGATTTAAAATATAAATATCCAAATTATTCTATTGGTTTTTTCCCCCAGGCCTCAAATTCACTTTCCTTATTGTTGCAATTATTTCCTGTCTATCTATAGTTTTCATTTATGATCTGTATAAGAAAATAAGTAATTAGCTCAAAACGTCTTGCTCACACAATCAATCAAACCCGAAGGGCTGAAGAAGCACTTCTCCTAAGATTCTAGAATTTACCATATTTGGACTTACTATGGGATTTTTTTTTGTTTTGTTTTTTTGGAGAGAACCCCATGAGTTATATACATTTCAAGAGGATCATGGAAGTGCAGTCAAGATGAGAAAGAAAAGCTATTCCAAAGATCGGCCTTTTTTTTGTTTGTTTTACTCCCCCCCCCAATTCATTTAGGAACCTAAAAGAATCTAGTCATTGACTAGATTCAGATCCCCAGATTTTTGTCTCCAGTTAATATCATCTGCATGGAAAAGCAGCAAAGAGCTCCTGAAGGAAATTCAGTGAAGGAAGGGCTCCACAATCATAGCCAACATTTCATGTTGTGTTGGAGATAGAGACCAGCACCCATTTCAACTGCAAGCCACGCAATGCAGAGGCCAACAAAAATCAAAGTAAATGTGTTCTGTCTGCATGAGTAGCTTCCTTGTGCCCAGGGCTACAGCTGCTGTGTAAAGCCTGGCTAATCCTTTAAATGCTTTCTGGCTCTAGACACTTCCCGAGTCATTTGTGCTTCTTGTTCTTAGAGGCCGTGTCTGATTGGAACAGCTTTCATCTATCCCTGGTAAGGTTAGAAACAAGTTGTTGATGAACAAGTGCTAACTTCACACTTTAATACCATCTCCAGAATAGTGTTTGATTGGTTGTGATATTTTCCTTTTGGAAGACTGCTTTTTGCTAGAGATGTCATCTATATTTGGCCAGTATATTTCAGTGAGTGTGCTGACCTACTCAAATCTATAAATACCCAGTAGACATGGAAGTGGAGCAGTTTAAACAAATAGTTGTTGTTTGCTAAGTAAAAAGCCTAAGAGCATGTAAGGCCGCGAGAAGAATGATGGCTAGTATTGGTAACATTTCTTTTTGGCCAGGCATGAAAAAAAGGAAGGAAGAATAGTGAATATAGGCATACAGAATGCATTAATATAAGACTGAAAGGATACTTCGTGTCTTAGCTTCCTTTCCCTCCTGGTCAGCTACAGTTTTAAAACAGCATTTTAAATAAATCCCGCAAAACTGATTAAGCCATGTCACTCAGCTCACTGTAACCTGCTGGTGAGTTTTACCAAACCCTGGTTTAAATAAAATAAAATAAAAATAAAACAGTTTCCCCCAACCAGTTGTCTCCCAGATATCTTGGACTTTCATTCCTACAATATATTCATTTGTGGTAAAATGGGAGGCAAACAAATTTAATTAATAAATAATTACAGGACAGTATGGCAATGCCCGGGGATTGGTACCTAGTTGGAAGAGTCTAATACAATATCATATCCCTAATTCATTATGCATTTGGGGAAGCCCTTCAGACAACTGTATGCTTAAAAAAAAACATACCAAACAAATATTAGCAAAATCTATTCAGATTAGATAAATTGGATATATCATATAATTTTGTTCTGTAACTTGGACCAAGATTTGGTTAGAAAAATCACATTTGTCACACCAGCAACAATAGGAAATGTCAATATACTGTATAACCCATGTATGCAATTCAACAGTCCAAAGATGAACTTCTTGGACTTCCTTCTACTGTATTTCTAACCCTGATCCCAAACCCAAGGGGGCAGATAGTTCCCTAATGCAGATAGTCCACTGCTGCAGCTGCAGCTTCATTAGAGGTAGATGATGGCCCTTACTTAATGATTTGCAAATGGGCATCTGCATTGTTACTCAAGAATCTCTTTGAAAATGGGTTTTCTTCAGATCAGATATGCACAGTACTGAGCTGTAAATGAAAGTGTGTCCTAGGAAAATTTCCCATAATTGTATTTTTCCTAGGCTTTTTTTAATTGGGATTTCTATCAGTTTAATGCATCTTTGATAATAATCCACCAGGACAGCATCAACCTGGGAAAGTCCTGATAACTGTGCCAGAAACCAAGTGCAAGAGATGTTAACTAAAATCAAAAGCAGGATGGAAAACAAGTTGCTAAATGTGGGAGTGAGTTCGGTATCTTTAAGACAATAATGAACATTTAGTCTCCAATCCATGGGGA